TGTTAAACTATAAAAGGATTAGCTCATAGTGAGTTGAGTACAAGTTACAAACATGGTTCTTAACAGGGACATCTTTTATCAATAAATGAAGAAAATATATAAACCTAAGAGAGACTTGAAAGATATCTTGAGACGACTAGTCTTCAAGAAATGACTCCAGTCGCACCATTGCTCATCAGCTGGTACAAGAATAGGTGAGGAGAGAAACTCTTCCACACTCCATTATCCACACACTTAGAATCTTTGTGTTTTCTCTTGGGACAACTGAACTCTCTTTTTCATTTATTTTCAAAGCTCTATTTATAGACCAAGGATTGGGGTTTGTTTTGCATTGGATCATGGGCTTATGTTTTAAGGAATCACATCAAGCACATACAAAAATTAGTGTCAACACACAATTGCAGCCGCTTATCAAACAAGGAATCGGGTACAAGGAGACCATGGCAGGAGATAAGGTTTAGTGTGGCAAACTGCTACAGTAGGCGCAGGTGGCACTGTGCAGTCTGCCCAGCGTACTATTATACCATCTTTTGTCCTCTAGCGCCTACACCTCATACTTTGAATTTGAATGGGTTATTTTTCCTCTTTTTCAACATAACAGAGTTTTCCCTCCAATTCATTCTTCCTTCCATACTATCCACATAAGCCAACTGCTTGCAATCTTAATTTTCCTTTTCCTCTAAATCCTTCTAATTCCTCCAGCTTGCGTTCCATGCAATCCTTCTAATTCCTTCAGCTTGTGTTCCATGCAGCAGACCACTGTAGTCTTGCCTCAGCTTGACTTTGCTAACCTTTAATTACACAAAACATATTAAATAACCAAAAAGGAGTATCTATTGTGCTCTAATCTACACTAATAAAAATAACTAATAATGCAGAAATTTAACAACTATTAAGCAAATAAAATACTAAAGAAAGAAATACTAAAGCATGTATTAACTCACAAAATGTAGGTTAACAATCATCATGATAGACAACATATCAATAAACAACAACATGAAATCATCATCAACATCATAACACAACAACATGATAATCATAACCAACATCTTAACAACATAATTAACTATCATAACACAACAACATCATAATCATCACCAACATCATCAACTATCATAATACAATAACATCATAATCATCATCATACTTACACATATTCAATTATTCATCAATTAATGCATAATACTAATTAAATTATATTTAATTATCATATTACATCCATATATCATAAAAGAGTGCCTAACAATACCTCAAATTATCACATAACAACAAAAACTGGAATCTTGCATGCACCAAAGCTCATTTTGCTCGTTATGGGTGCATTACGGGTTACCCGTCACGGGCATGGCACCCGTCATGAACCTTTAGCTACTCAAAACACGATTTTGATGATGGAGACTTATGGAGTCTTCCAAAATCACTCCCAACCATCAAATATAGACCAAAACTCCTTATAGATTTTAGGCTCAAATGAAGTTTTGGTACCCTCTATATTCATTTTGATAACTTTTTAGTCTCTGTTAAAAAAAAAATCAGCTTGATGATCCCTTAGCATCATATTTCATATTTTTTGGTGGTTTCCTGTGACAAAGCAATCTCATTTGCACACGTGGCATTGAAATCCATGAGGTGACATTTTTTTACTTTTGCCACATCATTAAAAATATTTAAAAATCTATTATTTTATTTTTTAAAAATTTCTTTTTAATAATTTTATTTATAAATATTTATTTAGAAATTAAATATTTCAAATTCTAAAATACATACTTAGGCCTAAGGTTCTTACAACTAGCGAGTTTTACCCAACTAAGAAAGAGAAGAAAAATTTTAGTGAGGAAATTTTATGAGAAATATTTATAAAGAAATATTTCTTTGGGTGTAATTGGGCGGTGGGTTTTCTGAGAGAGTGATTATTAATAAACACTTTGTATATTTCACTTTATATTAACTCAATACAAGAAAACTGCATCATAGCAAGAAATTTATTTCATAGGTAAAACTCGTCGCAGAAAAAGTGACGTTGACAGGGGATAAACCCCTCGCAATGCATGTTTATAATTTAAAATTTTGATAGGATATTACTAGGGGTTAGACTTCTCGCAATGCCTTTTTTTAAAATAAAAAATTAAAACATGTATAAAGAATTAATGAGATGGGTTGCGGGAAATTTTTTGAACAATTGCGCCGCGTCTGTCTTTTCGTAACACTGCGAGGGATTTTACACATCGCAAGTTCCAAAAGTTTTGACCGTTTTGAATGCGTGCTACTTCTATGATGACATGTCTATTCGCTATGTTGCACGGAATTTAGCATATCCCAAAATCCAAAATCACAATGCATTGCAAGTTCATTTTCATCTTGCAAAATTTGACCACATCAATTATTCAGTCTTTCTATTCCCCCTCTTTATTTATTCTAAACTTCCCCCCTTCTCCTATCTCTTCTGAAACCCATTTTCCCATTCATCTTCCAATCTTCCTACTCCTTAAACCCATTTTTCTCTCATTCTCAAACTTTCCTCAAATAAAAAAAAAACATTGAAGAATCATTTTGGAGCTTGATATTCCACAACAGAGTGAGTTTGCTTTAATTTGAACAACGCAACTTGGTGATTAGCATATGCGGATGAACCAAAACGTAATTCCAAATCTTTAGTGAAAGATTATCAATCCAGCAATTGACGATTTTGATACAACCATTTAAACCAACTCAGAGCCTCACCTTTCATATAAAATGACATCATGGCTAATATGTTTTTAGGGGGTAAATTATAAAAAAGTGAAAAATTATTCTGCTTGAAATAACCATTCTAATGGGTTGGAACCGTGAAACATAGCAAGTTCTAGTTTTGGGGTTCGAAAAGGGGGGTAGTGGAGGGGTTAGGTGATTTGGGAAAAAAGGAAGTTGGGAAAATTGGGGCATGGAAAAGGGTTGTGTAGTAGTAAACACAGGGGGTGAGGTGTAGTATGGGGGTTCAATGTATGGTTGTGTGGAAAACAGTCTATGGGATGGAGTGAAAATAGTCCGGACAGATGAAGTGGTTAGGGGTGGTGGCAGGCTGTAAGAGAGGGTGGCAGAGTGTAAAAGGGTTGTAGTGGTGCGGTGAAGTTAGGTGAAGCCAGGGGTGTGTGGATAGCTGGAAAAATGGTTGTATACATAGGAAAAAGGAAGTGTTATGAGTGATACCCGAGGAACTGGTTGAGTGAACAATGGCAGTGTGAATAATAGTTGTGTGAACAATATCGACCGGCTATTTTTTAGTTTGAGATGCTAATTTTGTAAGCAAACCCATGATGTTGTCATATCTAGAATCTAAAACTTGTTTTTCATTATCCATTCTAGTGTGAATCTGCTCCATATATGTATGTGTTTTATCAAAGCGCTCATGCATTTGCTGCTGGGTCTGGTTTATAGCATTGTCAAGATGGATATGTGATGTTTGGACATCCTCTTCTACAAGTTCTCTGTGATTTTGGGGGGGTTGTCATGAATTCAAGATGAAATGAAAGCACTAAATTGATTAAGAGATTTCAACAACTATTGCTCTAGATCTAGGATTCAACCAAGGACAAGCATAAAATTAAGAACGACTAAAAAAATATAAATTTGTGTTAATTCCCTTCCCTTCCATTAAGATAACATACTTAATGGGCCTAGCCCACTTGAACTAATAATGAAAAAACACATAACCAAAAAAACAAAACATATTATTTTGTAACAAAACCTTGCATCCCTTTGAGTTCGGACTTAATTCTTATGGGTCTAATATCATTCTTCATATTTGGAACTTTTTAAAGTACCTTTGTTTTCAGCTTATTTAGAGCTTTCTTCATATTAAGGTACACATTAGTTATTTTTTGTTGTTGTTATATATGGAGTTGAGATAGCTGTTAGATTAGATAAAAATTCATATTTGTTGTTTAAAAATATGAAATATAAATATGTTTTTTTTTTGGTTATATGTGGTGTTAAAATATGATATTTTTTATTAAATAATAGTGTTAAAAGTATATGATGTTAGATTAGATTAAATTATTATGTTTTATACATTTATATATGTATATGTATGTTGTTTAAAAAAAATTAACTTTTTAATTTTGTACTATTTATTTATAATAAAAAAACAGATTTAAGAAATATATAAAATTCTATATTATTATTTTAATATTTATATTAGTATAAATATAAATATAAATATTTTTTATCATAAAACGTAAGATCTGCGAAAAGTAAAACCCTTATAACATATGACACGTAGCTAACACGCAATCATGTATATGGTTTTGAATTATTATTTTTTTGCTTTGTGAGGGATTTTTCACCTACAAAGCTGAATTTTTAAAATGTTTTTGGCACGTTTTGGCATTATTTTGTCTGATAATATAGAAATTTTTTGTGTAGTTTTCTAACTAATACAACCTTCTAGAAAAACACGAAACTCAGTTGATACTGTCTGGGAAAAGTTAAAAAAGAAAAGACAAGTTCTCCCAACATAATAAAAAGCAAATCTTCAAATTATCTTGTGCTTAGCATGGAAGAGGAAGCTAGAAACATGAAGCACAAACATAAGAACACAGCATGCTAGCTGTTTCTTAAAGTGGTTACATAACACGTTTACAACACTAGATAGTGGCTACACTAGTCGTTAAATGTGAATCAATTTTACATCTAACGACTATGAACAACGATGTAGATGTTATTGAAGATTTGCAGTGTTCTATAAAATAAAATAATTATGAAAAATGGAAAGACACCAACGTAAATAACATGACAAGGCTCATAGGTTTAGAAACAACAACAAAAATAAAATATTTGGCTAGTGGCATAAACAAAACGTACATTTATTGGATATACCTACTAATACTATAGTCTATAGTAGGCATGTATTACAAACATAGCTTGCAGTTACAACTTAGAAGTTATCATCATCACATAAAAAACACAACCAAAAAAAAAAGATTATAAGAAAAAAAAGAGTACAATATATATTGCACAATATAATGTTGCCATTAATAAAGCATTGCCAAAGGATCGAAGTTGCCCTTTCCAAAGAGAATTTCCCATCAACAAAGAAGGTTTATTCCCATCAATCTTTAACAAAGAGTCTTGAAAGAAAAGGAGCATGGAAATTGGAAACCATTAACACAAACACACCATCCATTTTCTCCACTACCCCAAGTTTTCTCAAGAAATATTCCATATGGGGTAGAGGAGTAAAAGCTATGTTACATGTTTGAGATGGAGTGCAATTGAAAGAGGGATTGTAACGGTAGGTTGGTTTGGTTGTTATAGAATTTGCTTGTTGGTGTTTGATGGCAATGGAAAGGAATGATGACTTAAGTAGATTTTTTTGTTACTTTTTGGTTGAAGGGTATAAAAACTAAAGTGAAATAAGGTTCCATATTTAGCATCTTCCATAGGATATACCTTTGCTACCTACTATTTTGTTCCATATATGACAAACACCTTTGCAATCTTGCCATCACGTGTCTTCTACTTTTCTTATACACTTGATGTTTTTATTATAGTTGTCATCATACTCTTCATCCAACGGTTGTTTGAAAAGAGATGGATGCTATTATAATATGCTCCCTCAATTTTAGAAGGGGTAACATATATTATGGATGAATAAGCATTTTCTTCCTCTTCAAGATTGTAAGGATGGAATAACTTAATACCTTAAATTTATAAAATAGAATATTAATGCCTCAAAATTAAAGAAAGTGAATCAATTAGGGAGGTACACCTTTAAATGCACATTGTGAAAATCTATATCAAAGTGCTTTGTGTGTTCATAGAAAACAAGATTAGAAGTTATAGGTAGTGTATTTTGGTCATGAGGTATAATAATCTTATCACAAGTCTACAACAAATCGGGTGCTGGTAAAGATTATATCATCTATATACATAAGTAAAGAAAAAAAACACCACAAGAGAATTTGAATAAGAGAACTTGGTCACCTTTGACTGCTTAAATTCATATGATGATAACACATCAATCAATTTATCAAATTGTTCCTACTGGCTTGTTTTTTTCATAAATAGATTTCAACAATCTATAAACCTGTAAAATTAAATATATAATCGAATAATCATCAATTTAGACATGTACATATAGAAAGGAGATTTCCTAAAATAGTCGTAAATATTGATAAAGTGACTCTAAAAACAAGAGAGAGTGAATTGTGATATCCTAATTTCTAAAAATACTGATTTATAAAACTTTTTATTTTAAAAACGTTAATGATAGAAAAGATAAATAGACAGAGATAAAGCATCTGAATAAAAAAGAAGAGAAGGGACAGAGAAATAAGTAGCGAAACTAAAAATAACAGAAATAAAAGTGACAATGGATAGAAAGACCACACTAGAGAATTATCGTAGTTTAGACTAAACCACTTGGTCTGCTGTTGTTGAGCACAAAAGTAAGTTTTATAACTATCATATCCACATTGACTGGTAGTTTCAAATACTATTCAATAGTTTTTAAAATATTAAGTAGAGAAGGATTTTATATTTGTTTTGATGCGTGAAAGTGAATGACTGAAAGTAAAATGAAGATTTCAGTGTTAACAGTAAGAAAGCTTGCTAGGGGTAGATTTCGTCATTACATATTTATCATGTATAACCATAGATCAGTAATATACTATTATACTCAACTATTAATATTATCACATACTACTCTCATGTGTATCTCCGGTCAATCTCAACATCATTAGATCAGTACATTACCTAATAACTTATATCTCGGTCTATTAACTAATGGCTGAGCATTAAATTCCAAAAGTTATAAAAGAGTCAGACTCCACACTAATCATACCACAGTACGTGCAAATATCTAACCTAATCATATGTCTAGGCATTAGTATCTAATAAATGATTATCTTGAATCTAGTAATGACAAGCACATTTCAAATTTCAAGTCATACCATGAAAACAAGTTTTTGATAGTAAATCTAAAACAATCATTAAGATTAAAGAGTCCTTAATATTAAAGTTTGAGTATACTTACATAAAATGCCATGACCTATTTAATACATGAGTATAATGACTAAATATAACCCCCAACAAAGATATTTTTAGCTATGCTTACTCATCATAGATATTTTGGTAATCCCGCAAAGCTGAGCTTGGAAGTTTGTCTGCGCTTTCACCTTAAGGCTCCCTATCTTATTCTCGTATTGTAGACCAAGGTAAACCTACTTCAATTCTGTACTACCTCACTCCACTAAAACTCCTTTTGAAATGAACTAGAAGCCTCTATTTATAGGCGTGGATTCAGTGTCTTTGCTAGGCGCACCACCCTTACACTTAACGAGGATGATTTCTTATTGATTAACCAGTGCTAGTTTTTTGATAAGTGCCCCTAGCCGCTATGCCTATCTAGGCGACCGCCCTTGCACTTAGCAAGCAAAACCATTCTTCACCATGAAGTATTTCATCTCGCCTCTTGAGCTTGCCAAGCACGCATGTGCCCATGTGTTGGCTCCCAAATTCGACACTTGCTATATTTGGTCTCTTTGACCAAACAACTGGAAATGAACTACACCAGGAGGTGTAATTCGACGCATGAGATAAGTTAAGGAAAAGGATCCAAGATATAATAAGGAAGCTTCGACCAAAGGTTCATTCGACCGAGGCAGATGTAGGTTGTTCGAATGAAGGGAAGTGTTCGCGCCTTGGCACATGGGACGAAGACCATTTTGAAATTTGAATTATTGGAGGGAAAGGTGGTTTTCATCAGCGTCTAAGGGAAGGAAACGTGGCAAAAGGCTATGGGTCGAGAGGCATGCAGGAGACACTTGACTTCATCCTAGCGCAGAATGTCTCCTCGACGGTTACCTATTTTTAGTATAAATTAAGAAGTTTGTGTAATTTTTAGTGTGTTCAACTTATAGTACAAAATCTCTCAAATATTATCCAAGTAACTATTGCGTGAGAAAGGATAAAAAGCAGAGCAATGTACGTTAGAAACACCTTTTTTACTTAATAAAATTCTTTTTACTTTACTTTACCATTATCTTGCAAAGTCACCTTTTACTTCTTTTACTTCTTTTACTTGCATTTTTATGCTTTCATTTACTGTTCAACAATCTTAAACATCTCTCCCCTGGGTCGAACGTGCGTTCTTCCTTCTCACTCATTTTACATAAAGATTAGCATATGTTCTGGGATTAGTTTGGTCGATCCCGCAAGTAAACCAAAAAACTTACCTTTTTTTGGAGACTAGCGGTTGTTTACCAAAAACAACGGTAAACAAATTGGCACACCCAGTGGGACGTTGCTAATTGTCTATGTTATTGTGTTTTTTTTCTGTACAGTTATAACATTGCATGTTATTAAGAAGTGGTAGAATAACCAACAAATATACTGTTAGGAAAGAAAGCGGAGAGAGTAGTATGGCTAATGAGCCAAACCATGGAGAAATACCTCCACCGATCACAGGAACAACAGTTACTACTGTTATCGAAGGGAATATCCCAACTTTTGTCGGATCCATACCAGCGTTAACCATGAATCAAACAGGACCCTTACTTACGTATATGGGTCCAAGAGGTCCTTTAGGAACACCCCCACCAAGGATGAACCTAGGGTCTCGATCAACTATACCCCCGGGCTTTTCGACAACCTGGATGGGTCGAGAACATCCATATGGCATGCCAACTACTGAAATGGCTAGCCTTATGAATGCTGCGTCTACTTTCTCAGAACCTTTGGTAAACGCCACATCACCATTACAGGGATCTGGAGCCAGTAGAAACCAATTTTTAGGGGGGCCATCTCATATGATACCAAGTCTCACAAATGCTTCGACGGCAATTTTGAGGCAACAGATGGACGAAAGTAACCATGAAATGGTACAAATGTTAGCACAAACTCTAAGTACAGTACTAAATCCCCTCATTCAGACTGCCACGCAGTTGAATCAACAGATGATAGCGCAAATAACGCGCATGGCTGAATTCTTTGGGGTGCCTCAAGTTGCTCAACTACCCTAAGTTGTTCGACAGCCCCAGAGGGTACCAATAAGATTAAATCAAGGGGTAATCATGGAAGAAGATTTGACCATTAATCCAAACCCCCAAGTTCCAAGGGTCGAAGTAGAACAACCAAGATTAGAGATACCTCAAAACCATCGAGAAATCGATCAGGGCGTTATTCTGGCTAATAGAAACCAAAATGCTGACGAATTAATACAACAAGTTCGACACCAGAACTATGGGGCGGATAATAATTTAACCGCTATGATCGAGAGAATCATGCTTCAAAACGGGATGAATGTTGGTTTCCATAGACCAAACTTTACATCCTCATTGTCAGAATATATTCTGCAAACAGACTTACCACCTAGGGGAAAATTCCCAAAATTCACTAAATTTTCAGGGGATACGACAGAGTCGACTGTCGAACATGTGGCTAGGTATTTGATAGAGGCGGGAGAAATAGCAAACAATGAAAACCTTAGAATCAAATACTTCCCAAGTTCCTTAACTAAAAATGCTTTTACCATCCAATTCGATCCACAACTGGAACCAATTAGAAAGATTGTTCCATCAACAATTTTACATGGGTCAAACCAAGATAAGTCTAAAAGAATTGGCTAGTGTAAAAAGAAGGTTCACAGAGCCAATTGATGAATATCTAAATAGATTTCGACTACTCAAAGCTAGATGCTTTACCCAAGTACCTGAGAATGAATTAGTTGAAATAGCAGCAGGTGGCCTGGATTATTCGATTAGGAAAAAGTTGGATACACAATACCTAAGAGATATGGCCCAACTTGCTGATATGGTTTGACAAGTAGAACGCCTTAAGGCTGAAAAGGCCAAAACTGCTAAAACTCTTCGACGAGAAAGGGTAGCTTATGTAGAAATGGATGATGATGATCCAGAGACATACAACGATCCTGTAGATATCGAAGAAGGCGAAATTGATCTAGCTGAATTAAAAAATGGACCACCATATGCTTGTAAATTGTTGGTGCCATCAAATGGAAAAAATCCTGTGGAACCTGAGAAAAAGCAGTGATAAATTTCCTAAGAAAACTTATAGTTTCAACATATCCAAGTGTGACGAAATATTCGATCTATTAGTTAAAGATGGACAGATGATAGTGCCCCCAGGGGAAAAATTTCCTCCTTTAGAGCAGAGAAAGAAAAGAGGTTTTTGTAAATATCATAATTTTTTAGGACATAAAACCTCACAATGTTTCCTTTTCAGAGATCTCGTTCAACAT